CTCCAGGGTGGTTCTGGTCTGGATTGGGACCCTCCAGCAAGTTAGCTCAAAGCAAAACCATGCACAATCACAGATTCTGCTCCAACTCGGATGACGAGCAGACTGGAAGCCCTCAGTTCCAGTTTTGAGTCAATAAATGCTGTTGCAGCTATGCTGGTCTGCTTCTTGCCTACTGAAGCCACTACCCAATAGTGGTGATGAAGGTGGGATGCTGCAGTGGAGAGAGCTTCTGCTAACCAAGAGACTGAAATCACTGGGTGACAGGCTGGGTTACAAGCCCTGGCAGGACTAGTCCTTACCCCTGCCTATGAGTAAGCCACACAGGATGCACACTGAAATCACTGGGTGTCAGACCAGATAAAGAGCCCTGGTGGGACCACACTTCCCACCTTGCCTGCCAGTAAGACACACTCGAGGCACAGTCATGCCTGAGTGATCCATTCCCAGGATTCTTAAGTGCAGCTCAGCTCCAACCATAGAAGTACAGACATTAACCAGCACCACAGGAACCTTCCCAAAATGACTAAACTGGGAAGACTCAATGAGTCTCACCCGGAACAGTGGAGCTCATACATCTCCTGAGTAGACAACTATCTCTGGGCTAACCAGGTCATGGACGATGACCTGAAGGCAGAAAACCAACTATGTGTCTGCAGAAAAGCCATGTTTAATATTGCTGAAAACTTGATACTATTGGCAAGTGTAGAGACTGTGGCCTACACAGACCTCTAGAAAAAATTAAGGAAACATTTTGAGCCTAAACTCTTGGTCATTGCCCGATGCTATGCATTCAAGCAATGTGAACAGCAGTCCAGGGACCTGCAGCAGAGTTTCTGGCAACCCTTCGCAGAGCTTCGCACCAATGCGAGTTCTCTGATCTGAAAGACCATCTCAGAGACAGGCTCTTTTGCAGCTTTTGTAATAGTGAATTACAGCAGCGCCTATTTGCCATGGAGAAACTGACTTTCCAAGATGCATTGAAGGAAGTTATCGCAGATGAGGCTGCCAGAGGGGCAAAGAAGATTCTCTGGACACTACAGTGAGAGCAAAGAAATCAATCACTTGCAGAGAGAGCCACCCAGATGGCCATGCTCCACAGAGCAAGCAACTCCTCCACAGAGCTTTGCAAGCTGTGGGGGACAGCATGAAAGAGCAGAGTGCCGATTCCACACAGCAGTATGTTGTGCCTGTGGAAAGCAAGGGCACATTGCACATTGCCAGAGTTTGCAGAGGTCATCAGTGGGAAATGAAACATGTGATACAGCAGCACAAGGGGATATGGCCCCCAGGACAGACCAGAGTTGAACATTGGTGAGGAAGGCATAGCATTCAACATTCAGGGGCCCAACACCCCATAAAAAAATAAGACTCCAACTAAAACTGCAAGGGGTCCCATGCTCCAGGGGGCTAGATACTGGATCAGCCCTGTCCATTATCTCCTCCACAACTTTTGACCACATTTGTAAATATAGCTGACAGTAGGTCCCATTCAAATCATCAAGCTTAGTGCTAATGGATTTCCAGAGTCACCATCTTCCCATAAGGGGCGAGGCTACCATTGAAGTATAGAGAGTTCCCTTAGCATAGTGGTCATAGAATAGCTGCATACCAGCCTCATAGGTCTGGGCTGGTTTGAGGCCCTGGGCATCATGGTGATGATCATATGTCAACAATATGCTGACATATTCAGCACTGAGCTGGGACAATACAAAGGGGCACCCATTTCACTTAACCTCGATCTAACAGTAACTCCAATCTGATTAAAATCATGCAAGGTTCCTGTTAGTATTTGGGGACAAACCCCCAAGCAGAGTGTGCAGCAGCAGTCAAGCCAG